TCCCACTCAGCAAACTGTAATATAACGTGTTATATTATAGTTACATTGTTAAATGGAAAATTACAACTATAACATGTACGCTACATATAACTTGGCGTTTGCTGGGATATGAGAAAGTTTTAATTTAAATTTTGTCACGAGTTATTTTATAGGAACAATGAGGAAACGAAATTAATAATAGTTTAATGTGTAACGTACTGTTTGTTTTATCTTAAATCAACGATTGCCAATGGTTATATTTTATGTATTATGAACAAAAGAAAGTAATAATGCGCTAAATAATTTCAAACAGTATTAACTTGACTTTAACTTCATAATTATTATGCTAAACTATAAGCTAGAACCGTACGACTTTGTTTAATGCGATATTAATAATTCTATATTATTGGACAATAAAAGGTTTTATTATAACGCGATCAGAGACAAAAGAGTATACAATAGTAAATATTGATATATTATTGGTATTAAAGGCATGTAATATTTTAGGGTAATATTTCCTAATTTTTCTCAGAATGTACTTGACATGGTTGCCTGGAAAAAGTAATTCAATTATTATATTTTAAATACATGTAATTGGCGACTGCTTAAAAGTAGGAACGAAAATTATTTATGCTCAATCTATAGTTATTAAAATATAAAATTATTATTAATTTTTAACACAATTCAGAGTAGGAATCATGGTGAATACTTCTAAGGCTCTAGATTATTATTGCTATTTCATATATAATTTGCATGAATCATACACACATAAATTATACACGCGTTTTTCCTTCATTTAATCAAGATAAAAGAGCGCACATAGCGTTCTCGATTTTTTAATTAAAAAAGCAATTATTTTTGTTATAACTTCTATTACATTCTTTCTTATGATACACACGCGCGCGCGTGGTGTGTGGACAAAAAGTTCGTATACTGAATTCTTTTTTCTGCTAACGTAGCAACATTGTAGATTTCTACGATGGCGTGACGTGTAGTAGTATAATAGAGAGTATATGCGAATATATTCAGTAGAATTTTGTTACTATAACAATTGTGCATGCAATTTTTTATACTAGTAATTGTGAAAGTTTTTTTTTTTTCATTATCGGGTGCAGTATGATATTTTGACAGAACAATAATGGATGAGAAATTCATGAAATGTTACAGATGGTTTGAATATTAATTTCTGGTCAATTATTGAAGAGAACATGAGAAATTTGATTCTCTGTTTTGTAAAAACATCACGCTGTATTTCGATGGTGCAAAAAAAAAACTATTCTCATAATTATTGATATGAAAAGCTGCATGCGCAATCGTTAATAAAACTGTAATTATACTGAACGTGCTCTTAGACTTAATTATAATAGCTATATCATAAAAGCTTATAATATTGCTTGTTAGTAGAAAAAAATTCAATGAATAGACTTTTTGTCCACATTACGTATTATAAGTATAACATGAATTGTATTGGTGCCTATTATTTTACAGCGATGAATAGGAATTAACACACAAGCTCCCTTTATCATCTTAGTTTCCAACAGAGATATTTTGGAAAACATTATTAAATTAATATTTATCCATCATCCTTACATAAATAATCTATAAATTTTCATACGACGAATTGCAAATTGTGTCCAATAAATTAAACTTGAGAAAAACCTCAGCATGTTTCTCTGATCGCTAAAAAATTACTTAAATAAGTATTTCTTCGTGTATTGTTAGTGCATGTCTGATATATCATTTAATGTAAAAAAAAATTCAAAAAATGAGGTAAACAAACGATCAATGTGTATATGTAAAATTGATATTTGCACAAAATTAAACTATTTCTCGCAACTATCTATCACGATTCAAAAGTTCTACATAACTTAACGCAACTATATACGTAATTGGCAGACTTTTGGTTGCATTGCTCTTAAAATTTGTATCATGCGATTTACAACAAGCATAGAATCGGAAAAAATAAGAGTAAAGCATCTTTTTGACTATATCACGTGGATACTATCTATACATGTAGCTAGTTCAGCTACAAGGCTATAAAGCCCCTCGAGTACTACTATCTTGTCTCTTTTAACGTAGAAATACTATACTCAAATAGAATTCAAAAATCTATCTATCAAAATCTATCTCTTCTCTGTAGATAGTTGAGTCTTAATTCATCGAAAGTATACTTTCGGTGATATCTATTTTAGACATTATAGCTGCTGGACAGAGAAAATACAACATGAATTGATTTGTGAAAGTCATGTAAAAATGGTGGAAGTACCAAAACGGGGAGGAACATGTATTGTTCGCAAAACTGAGAGCTACCTATATTTAAGAAAAATTATTAAGTAGCAAATGAAAGATTTATGGTCGGGTTGTACGTGTACTAGCTGACAGATGGTCCAATCATAGACTATATATTCATAACGGGGAAAATAAACGAGAACTTAAAAGAATAGCGCCTAATTGTGTTATGCGAAGGATGGGAAACAGCGCGCGTACAGAAAGTTATGATTGTAAATAAAAGTGAATTAAAAATAAAGACCAGAGGCACATCTACGTAGTCATATAAAATTATAAAAAATTGAATTTTCAATTAAATTACCATTTAAATTATAAAGATACCTTTTAAATTTTTGTGTTGTTTAAAATAAAAGTAAGTAAAAAAATTCTCAAGATAATTACACACAGAAAAGGAAATCATTGGATTTATCATGTGTTGAATTTTTGAAATAACCACTTAAATATTTGAAAGTAGAACAATATTTTAGAATTGGGACATTGTTATTATTTTTTTTATCAGTCTGTTATAATAGTTGTTACGTTGATTATCTAAAAGCATCCTTGTTTACTCGCAGTTATTGCACAATGAGCACTTATTTTACGACAAAGTGTGCGTCATGATAATATGCTGCAAAAATGTATCACGCTGTTTTTCAAGCATCGCATATTGAACACAACAAAGTTACAGAGAAATTATTATATATGATGTTAAAATATGAAGGATTTTAAACAGATATTATAAAAAGCAACAGGCAAGAGATATTCATATATTTTCAGTGTAAACCAAGTATGTGTATATACTTGTGGTAAGACTACGTATCTCATAGCTTTAACGGCTCGCCGATACCCAAGTGGAAGCAATCTTCTTTGGTAGCGTTATCGAAATTGCGATCACATCAACGACGCATATTACGTCTCGTTGTTAAAAAAAAGCTGTATGGCCAATTTAATGTGTTCTGTTAACAAAGATGGTATGTTTCCACTGAGGAAGAGCGTATAAAAGAGTAATCGTTTGGATGTTGATTGTTAAATGTTAGGATAGATGGGTACAACGTTATATCTTTTCAACCAGAATTGCATGTTGAGTACTTGCATTTTGTCTCTTATCTTCGGCTACATTGCGGCGTTATTTCATCGGATTTCAATCGTCGATACGTGTCACTGTTTGTTATGTAAAATGTAAATCATGATTCAATTAAACGTATAAGCTCTTCTGTATATGTGAATTTTGAGAAACTCAAGCAAAATAACAATAACGTTAAAAAGACGTTATAATGAATCGTAAATAATTGAAAAATGGATAAGCTGAAATAATAAATTATTGAACTTTTCTTATTTTCAGTAATGTAGATTAACTCTTATCTCAGTTCAACTTACTCTTCATCTTATTCTAATTTTTAGAACTATAAAAAGATGAAGAGTTAATTGAACCGACATTGAGATTAAACTATATTGGTAAAAACAGGCATAATTTTTAGAACTGAAAAAAATGAAAAGAATAAACTGAATTGAGATTAATAAGTTAATCTCTACATTATTGTGAGAAAATAGGAAAGATTCAATAATTTACTTTGTAACAAGCATTAATAATTATGTTAAAGTCATTTTAATGTCATTTTGATGTTATAATGACTTATGTTTTGCTCGGGAAAGCGTGAAATGTTTGATTTGCAGCAACGCAGTCACTGCCGTCGTTTTCCTGCAATGAAAACCAATTCTCGCTTTGAACGGTTTTGGTACTGTCGTAAAAAAATTATTTGTGACATATATAAATTGGTTATATTATCGTACAAGATTCATTTAAAAAGATTTATTGTATACATATACATGTGGAATGTTTTGTCTATTGTCTTTGAGGAATTTTACGTTCCATGTCTAATCATGTCTCGCAATTATTACAAATTATTTACTGTACTATATCTTGGAAGTATGTATTTTATAAATAAAAATAGATAACCAATATGTATACGTATTATCATCTGTTTTATTATTTTAAAGTTGTATCATTACGTTTGTTGATATTTATTATTCTTTGGATAAAATTTTAATAATACAACTGATGGAGCATTTGTTGAGATGGAATTTGCAATGGATTGGCGCAAAGCAGATACTTCGGCTGATAAGTGAAATAATATATTTGCATATTACACAATATTAATATAATCTGCTATTTTCTATTTGCTACTATTTACTATGTTTTGAGGTCATAAGGATGTGCGTTTAGTCTACTTATATTTTCAATTATAATTTTACTTTTTACTAAGGTGAAAATTACATAAAAGCACTAATACAAACTTTGTAAGCAAATCTTATAAGAATAATGACTTTAGTAATATTTTATCGGTGAAGCTATTGAAATAATTCAATCTAACTAATCAAATTTATCATAGAAAATAATGAGAGTAATTTTTAGAAATCTAAAAATATATCATTACATATATAGAAAAATTATAAGAAAATACAATTATAATAGACTATTTTATTTAAATTAACAATATTAACATAGATTTGATATAGTTTAATAATCCCACAAATTTTGTTTGATCTTGGAACTTAAATTAATACATTTCTTTAATGTAAATGCCATATTTTGTTTTATATAAAGAAATTGTATAAATTGAAGAATTTTTCAATTATGCAATATATACGTACTTGTAGGCAAAAGAGGCCAAAATATATCAATCATATAGATTGATATGTTAAACATTATCTAAATTTCTTTTACAATTCACATTATAGAATTGCTTTAGTTCTTAATCTGAAGATTTTGTTTTCAATTTTACTGCTAGCTGATTAGCCACATAATCCCAATATCGCCATCTTATTGTATCATATTTTTTTGATAAATCCTTGCATAGCTAAAGTATAAGTACATATATCAGATATGACAAATAAATTGAATATTATAAAATGCATAATGTTAAAAAAAGTCTTACCTCGTATGCAAAATTAATATGAAATAACGGAGATAAGGTTTCGTCTGATGGACAACTTTCTTGACAAATATCAATCATACAGGCCAATAAATGATTAGTACGGCATCCTTCTTTGTACATCTTTTCACATTTATGTCTTACTTTCTCATTATAACCTAAACCTTTACTATGATGTGATAATATTCTAAAAAGATAATTTAAATATATTCAAATTAAAATATTTCTTGAAATATTTTAAAAACTCCTAGTATATCAGACATAAGTACCCTCTTAAATAGTTCCAAGCACTCTCATTTCCTTTTTCCAACTCAATCTTTTCCAATGTAAAATCAACTTCCTTATCTATTACTTCTTGCTCAAACTTTGTTGTATTACTTATAACAAAATAGCGCTGGTTCCAAGCAGAATTATTACGAACATCATCATTTAACAACTGTTCTACATATTCCAATTCCTTGTCATATAAACTGCAATCACAATCATATTTTTTTTATACATGTGATCTCACAATCAGATATAATAAAACAATATTACTATATGTATGTGTTACATTCTGTACACATATATAAAGATATACTTACTTAAATGTTTGTATGCACCACTGACGATGTTGCCAAGCATGATAATTCTTTGCATCTTTATATAAAACGGTTTCTATAAATGCTAATTCTTCACTAGGATCTTGTAACCATTCTACTATGACCTTTCTGTGATGCCAAACTTGATAATTTTTAGAATTACATTTTATCATTCGATCTGTATATTTTAGTTCTTCGTGTAAGTCTTTTGCCAAAGTTTTAAGTATCTCTCTTCTGTATTCCCATACAGTATAATTGGCTGGATTAAACCATATACAGGCTTCTGTCAAAGCTAATGCACGTTCTGACTTTTCACTCGATTTTAGAATGGCACGGAAATAATCATAGGCATCCTTAACTAAAAATTAACATCAACATGAGATATATACAAATAAACGTTATAGAATTTATTAAAGTAAAATCTTTTATGGAGAATAATAAGTTTATATAATATTTTATGTTCTATAGAATACAACTTAAAAATGAAACTTCTTAAATGTCATTTAAAGGTGAAAAAAATACGATTTTTTTAATTATATATACTTACACTTTTCGGAATATGCAATGGATACAACAGGATGAGGACCATCATCCTGAGGTATAGGAGTTATATCATTCCATTCAACACGATCTTTATATAATGTCCACGGTGTTTTTTCGTGATCATCATTACTATTTAATTCGTCGTCAGAATTGTCTGACATGGTTTTCTACTTTAATACAGTATTTTCTGTCAAAAATTATAAACGAAAACAAAATAGCAAAAGTTTTGTTTAATGAATCCTAACCTAACCTTCACTTTTGTACTTCGTTTAGTGCTAAAATACGATGCTTGTATAATAATATTAACGTTGACGTTAAAAACCTTAAGAATAGTTAAATATCCTACTCGTTTGCTGCGTTTATTGTAGTGTAATTAGCATCACGTGTCTTCACATTTAAAACTAAATATTTTTCAGTGAATCTTTTGTCTAGATATTCGTACACATCGCGATTGTTGATTAAAAAAATATACTTACGTATAATTAAATATAATCTTCGTCTCTTTATAACATTTAACTTTTTGTAATAGTTAATCTTTTGTATATAGAAAACAACTAACGTACTGACCGATGTCCAATTTACAGCGATAGTGAGTTACACTTTTTATGTTCAAAGTGAGGTAGTTGTTCGGTCGAATTATTGGATAGAAAAAGAGAAAAAAAATAAAAAGTACAGAAAGTGCAGTTGCAAAGAATAGATTTATTATTATCAGTGATGACAGTGCATACCTCTTTTTATATATATTATATATATATATATATATTATATATGAGATGGAAAAGGAATACATCAAATCATTCAGAAATAACCGCATACCTCTCTTTCTCCTATTGTCCCTATTGATTTTCAAATTTACTGTAATAATTTGATAGCAGACCTATCTGGAAAAATTATAACATGAGAAATGCATTAGGGTAAGAAATGATTAATACCGATCGTTTATTTAAATAAAAAATTAATCTCATGTATACATTAAAATTTATAAGATTTATTGAATAGAACGAAACAATAAAATTATGTTTTTGTTTAAGATTTAAATTAAAAAATTGTGTTACATTATATAACAATATTCTCTATAATCTATGCATTGTTTACAAAATAAATTTGTTTTGTATGGACACAGGAACACTCATCTCACTCTCTCAATTCTATATTCTCATCTCACACGTATTCACTGAATATGCTACAAAGCATTCTACAGTAGCAAGTTTGTTAACAAATTATTTCCATATTTTTGGTACACATTTTATAACAATTATTATGGTGAAATCTCGACATTCTGTATATATTCGTAGGCTACTCAAAAATGACCAATTTGCATTAGTTATATTATACAAGTGATTAACTATGTACATAATTTATTACTTTATGTGAAAATTGGCCAAATTTAAAAAAACTGACCATTATTACTATAGATATATAATACAGTTACTCCTTTGTAGCAGATTTAACAAAATTTGCGGTAACTGTTATTTTTAGAATCTTACCAAAAATAAAAGATAATTTTGTATATTTAGGATGCGAGTGCAATTTACAAAAAAATATATATACCACAAAATTGCTATTATATATCAGAATTACTAAATATAACAAAGAAAATTGCTTTCTTTCTCTCTCTTCCTTTCCATATGTACGAATAATACTTTATTTCTAGTCGGTTATCGCAGAATTGAAATTTTGTTCTCTTTTCTTCACTAGAATAAATGATTCCTTTGAGCTTACAGAACAGCAACAGATAGCTTATACAAGTGTATATAAATGGAATCTATTTTTCTTTTTTACAGAACGCAAATTATTTAATTAGAATTAATTTTTCTCCTCCTTTTTCTCGCCTTCAGGTTCCTGTTGTGATTGACTTTGATTTTGACTTTCTCTCTCTGCTGCCATCTATAAAATCAACAAGTTTAAATAACGGTCCTTGAATTACAGCGTAATCTATATTATGTTCAGTAAATAAATTTTTACATCAATCAAGTACCTTTTTGTATGCCATTTCAAACAATTTCAAGCTTGCTTGTTGAAGTTCATTCGTTTCCTTTTTGATTTCTTCAGGATCTACGTCATCTTTCTTAGCCAAAGTCTCTCGTAGTTTTGAAACCAGTTCTTTAAGTTTGTCACACTAAAAAAAGTAATAAAAGAAAAGTAATAAAAATATCAAATTTACAGAAATATATTAAAATATTAAAAGCAATAATATACCTCTTCTTGTGGTAATTGTGGTTTGAATTCTTCTAGCTTCGCTTCTGTGTCATGTATAATTCCCTCTGCTTGATTGATAGCTTCAACTCTTTCTTTCTTAATTTTATCTGCCTTTGCATATTGTTCAGCATTTTTAACCATGTTTTCAATTTCATCTTTGCTGAGGCCACCACTAGATTGAATAACAACTGTAAAAAAAAAACAGATTTAGAATATCCCCATTAAGAAAATATAATTCGTTATTATTATGATAATAACTCAGTTGAATGTAATCCACAATCTTATTAATATTTCAAATAAGTTTCAGAGACGAAAAATATAGGCATCATTGTAGTATCATGTCTTTAATATTATATATATATATAGGCTGATACATGCACAATACCGTTTGCATCAATATCGAATGTTACTTCTATTTGTGGTACACCTCTTGGTGCAGGTGGAATACCAACAAGACTAAATTGTCCTAAAAGCTTGTTATCACCAGCCATTTCTCGTTCGCCTTGATGAACTTTAATCTCGACTTGTGTTTGACCGTCCGCTGCTGTAGAAAATACCTGACTCTTCTTTGTAGGTATAGTTGTATTACGAGAGATTAATCTTGTAAATACACCACCAAGTGTTTCAATGCCTAAAGAAAATTGTTAAATATTTTTTTATTACTAATCACAAAGTATTTTCATTTGTAATGAAAGATGAATGGAGCATCAGTAAATCAATGTCTTCATTTATTATCAGAGAGAAGATTAGTCTAAGACATCACAGTTTCGTATATGTAAAATAATGGAACAATTTAAGTAAAAATTTTACCTAGTGATAAAGGTGTAACGTCAAGAAGTAAAACATCTGTTACATCTCCTGCAAGTACACCTCCTTGAACTGCAGCACCAACAGCTACGGCTTCATCCGGATTTACAGCTTTCGATGGTTGTCTGCCAAATATATCTTGAACAGTTTGTTGTACTTTCGGAACCCTGGTCATACCACCAACCAATAAAACTTCTCCGATATCAGATTTTGTTACTTCAGCATCAGAAAGCGCTTTCTGACATGGTTGAACAGTACGCTTAATCAGATCATTTACAAGACTTTCAAATTTACTTCTGGATAACTTAAGATTTAAATGCTTTGGTCCACTAGAATCCATAGTAAGGTAGGGAAGGTTTATATCCGTCTGAAGGGAACTTGACAATTCTATTTTAGCCTTTTCTGAAGCTTCTTTCAATCTTTGCATTGCCATTGCATCTTTAGTTACATCTATACCTTGCTGCATTGTTTTAACAAATCGATTATTATTATTAACATAAATTTACTTCAATAAGCAAATATAGTGATGATATTTAATTATTAAAAAAATTCATACCTCTTTTTTGAATTCAGATACAAGATAATTAACCAATGCATTGTCAAAATCTTCTCCTCCTAAAAATGTATCTCCATTTGTGGATTTTACTTCAAAGACACCCTTCTGGATTTCTAAAATTGAAATATCAAAGGTACCTCCACCTAAGTCGTAAACAGCAATACTGAAAAAAGAACAACATATTAATTACATCTATTTTTTTGCAAGATATATAAGAAATATAACATAAATTTCAATAAAAATTTCAGCATAAGATATATATCTTTAAAGACAAAAACTCTGCTTTAAAAATATATATTGTATGCTCCTATAAATTATTTTATAAAAGTATTTTTCATATTATGTCTTGATGAAATATATTTTTTACATTTTATCTTCTTGTTTATCCATTCCATAAGCAAGTGCAGCTGCAGTTGGCTCATTAATTACACGAAGCACATTCAATCCTGCAATCTGACCAGCATCCTTTGTCGCTTGTCGTTGTGAATCATTAAAATACGCTGGTACAGTAATAACAGCATTCTTTACTGGAGTATTTAAATAAGCTGCAGCAGTTTCTTTCATTTTCATAAGTACAAATGCTCCAATTTGACTGGGAGAATACATTTTTCCATCCGCACCTTGAACCCATGCATCTCCATTAGATGCCTTCACAATTTTGTATGTTACACTCTTCCTGTAAGAACATATTATATATTAATATATTACATAAAGCAAATACCATATAAAAATTGATATAAATAATAAAAATATCAATATGATACTTACATATCCTTTTTCACTTCAGGATCTTCAAATCTTCGTCCAATTAACCGTTTTGTTGCATAAAATGTATTAGAAGCGTTTGTGACTGCTTGACGTTTTGCAGGCATACCAACTAAACGTTCATCGTCTAAAGAAAAAAAACAAAAATCATTTTTAAAAAATGATAAAACTAAATAAATATATTTTCTAGAATTTGATTTACATAATTTATATTTTTTATTTATTGCATAAATAATTGCAAATAGTAATTATAATTAATAATTGTTACCAAAAAAATTTTATTATTAATATATAATAATTTAGTAATTACCTTTCGAAAAAGCAACATAAGATGGTGTAGTCCTAGAGCCTTCAGCGTTTTCTATAACCTTAGCTTGCTTGCCCTCCATTACTGCTACGCAGGAAAAAGTAGTTCCAAGATCTATACCGATAACTGCACCCTTTACACCTTCGGATCTATTAAAAATTAAAATAATTTTAAGAGCTGTTCTAAACCTAAGAAACATACTTTTATACATTTATGATATTTATTTCTTATTACTTACTTATACCGATACTGTTGCATATCGGTAAATCGATGTGGTACAGTGACTGTTGGAGCTGCAACCTAAAATGTTAAAAATATTATATAATATGTATATTTAAATTGCGTTTAATAATTGAGTATTTATTGCAAAATATTTATTACAATATCATAAATATCATTTTATATAAGAAATTAAAAAAAATAGTTGGAAAGATACTTACAACTTTTTATTAACATAAATTAAAAAGGTTTAAAATAAACAACAAGATAATAAAATATAAATTAATCACATATATATATATAATTAT